GTACCAAAACCACAGCATGATTTTTTTTGTAGCTATGGAAGATTATTCTAAAATTTATATGGAAAAGAAAAGGAACAGGCATTGCTAAGACAATTTTGTTAAAGACAGAAAAGTGGGAGGAATCATTCTTTTGAAGTGAAGGCTCACTATACAGGTACACAATCAAGACAGCGTAGCACTGGAGGACGGAAAGACACCTACCTCGATGGAACAGAATAAAGAACAAAGAAATAGATCTATCCAAATATGCCATCTAATTTTTGGCAGGGATGTAAAAGCAATTCAGTGAAGAGAAAAATAACCTTTTCAACAAATGGTACCAGAGTCACTGGACATCCAGCGGCAAAAAAATGATCCTTGACTTCAGTCTCACGCCTTACACAAAAATTAACTCAAAATGAATCACAGACTTAAATGTAAATATGTAACTCTAAATAAACCTTTTAGGAAAATATATGATAAACTACGGGGATCTAGGGCTAAGCAAAGAGATTTTCAATTTGATCCTAAAAGCATGATGTAAAACAGAAAAAAAAAGCTGACAAATTGGACTTCATCAAAATTTAAGAAATCCCATTAAGAGAATGAAAGACAAGTTACAGACTGAGAGAAAATATTTGCAAACCACTTATCAGACAAAGGACTAGTATCTAGAACATATTAAAAACTCTCAAACCTCAATAAAAAGAAAACAAGCAAGGCTAAGAACAGACAAGAGATCTGAACAGGTCCCTCACCAAAAAGTTACAGGGATGGCAAATAAGTACATGAGAAGTTGTTCATTACTACTTACAGTTACAGCGTCAGTGCAAACTGAAACCACAATGATGGATGTATCATTACACATCTATCAGAAAGGCTAAGAAAAAAATGCTGGAAAACATGAAAAGAAACTCAGTCACTGAAACACTGCTGGCAAAAGTGTAAAACAGCACGGCCATTCTGGAAAATAGTTTGACAGTTTCTTATAAAACTAACCATGCACCATACAGCCCAGCAATTGCACTCTTGGGCACTCATCCCAGAGAACTTCTGTTATGTTCAAACTTACGTTTGAACAAACCTGTACAGGAACATTTATAGCAGCTTTATTCATAACAGCCCAAAACTGGAAACAGTTCAGCTGTCCTTCAACAGGTGGATGGTTAACAGCAGCACATTCATACCTGGGAATGCTACGCAGCCATAAAAAGGAACAAATTATTGATACATGCAACAACCTGGAGGGCTCTCCAGAGAACTATACTGAGTAAAAAAGGCAGAGTCCAGAAGGTTAAATGCTCTATGATTCCATAAATATAACCTTCTTGAAATGACAAAATATATAAAGAGAGAACAAAGGAGCAGCTGTTAGGAGTCAAGGAGGGGGTTTGAGCAGGAAGGGAGAGCACCTATAAAAAGGCAATCTGAGGGATTCTTACAGTGATGGAAATGTTACCTGTAACTGTACTGAACTGTATCAGTGTCAATAACCTAATTGTTTCTTTTTTTTTTCATGGAGGTACTGGAGATTGAACCCAGGATTCTGTGCATGCTAAGCATGCACTCTACCACTGAGCTATACCCTCACCCCAACCCCGATATCCTGATTATGATATTATACAATAGTTTTGCAAGATGTTAATATTAGGAGAGATGTTTACATTAAGAGAAAGCGGGTAAAGGGTACACAAGAGTTCTCTCTGTCATTTCTTACAACTGCATGTTAACCTACAATTAAGCTATTCCTGATGAATTATTGATCTAAATTCAATAGGAAAATCAATGGAGCTTCTGAAAGATAACATAAAGGAATATATTCATACATTGGGGTTGCCAAAGATGTCTTAAATAGAATACAAAATGGATTACCTATTTAGGAAAAGATTAACAAAATGGGACTGCACTGAAATCAAGAAATTTTGTTCATCAAAAAGCACTACTGAGAGAGTGAAAAAGCAAACCACATGAGTAGGGGGCTATATGCACATTACAGAGAATGGACACTGTACTTGCATCCAGAATATTTAGACTCCCATAAATCAACAAGAAAAGATGGTCTGATAAAAAGATGGGGAAGAGACGTGAAAAGACGTTTCATATAAGAGAATAAATGAATGGCCAATAACTACATGAAAAGATGGTCAGCTTCATTAGTCATCAGGAAAAAGCAAACTAAAACTACTAAGCAAATTACCACTGCAAACAAAATACAGTGGCTTGAATTTAAAAGACTGACCCTACCAAGTATTAGTAAGTATATGAGGAAACTGGAACTCCCACCCATGCTGATAGGAAGGTACACGGACATACCTACTTTGCAAAACTCTTCAGTAGCACCTGTTATAGCTGAAGGTTCCACTCACAGGTATACATCCAACAGACAGGTGTACCAAAAGATATGAAACAGCCAAGAACTGGAAACAACCTAAATATCCACCACCAGAAAAGCTAAAATGTCATATATTCAAAACAACTTAAACAGCAATGAAAATGAACACACTATTGATACACATAATAAAAAAAGATAATGTTGAGAGAAAGAAGTCAGACACACATAGTGTTTGGTTCCATTTATGTGAGGTTCAAGATTGGGCAAAACTCAGCAACGGATTTAGAAGTAAGAACCGTGGTTACTTGGGCAGAAGGACTGGGTGGCGAACGGTAGGACACAAGGGGTACTTGCCGCTCATTTGTCGGTAAATGTTTTATTTCCCGATCTGGAGGGTGGTTACATGAGTTCGCTCACTTCATGAAAATTTACTTAGCCTACCTCTCAAGCCACCCACTCCCAGCTCGTTATTTTCCCCCCACACTAGCTTTCTTTCTAGGCTTCAGAAACGGTACCCTTGTCCTCATCTCAGGACCTCTGTGTGCCGGCTGCCGGGAACACAATTCAGACTTCACCCACCCTCAGTGTCCCAGCCGCCTCTCCTTAAACTATGTCCTCTGCCAGGAGGCACATCAAGTCAGGCTTGAAAAAGAAAGGCAGGAGAGGAGAGAACAAAAAAAAGTGTACATGATCAAGTAAAGAGAAGACGACCTCTGGGCCACTTAGAGGCACAAAGCAGATTAAGCCACAGACCGATACCTGGACGGAGGCAACCCAAAAGCCTGGGAAAGCCCATGCGGGTATTTTCCACACTGGTTCCACAGGAAGTACTGCAAAACATGGAAGGTACAAGCCTCAGACAGAGAACTTGTCTTCAGGAAGGTTCTGACCTAAGCATTCGTAATAACTGACTTTACTATTTCAGTTGGACACGGAAGTCATCCCTGCACCTCAGTTTCACAGATGAATACTCCCACCTAAGTAAAGATCCTAAATTTTATGGCTTAAGTATAAATGAAACACTCTTCTTCATCTTAGAGTGCCTTTGCCTCGTAACCCTAACTCCTGCTGTTATTATTTTGAGACCCGGCAGAGAGAGGAGGCAGAGGAGGGAGGAGGGAGGAGGAGCTGCAGACATGAAGCGGGAGGCTGGTGGCATTTCTCCGATGCCCTGAGAAATCTCGGTGAACCTGACCAGGGCAGTTCTCAGCTACATCTCCTCACCTTGTGAACCTCACGGAGCAAAGAGCCGGGGGCAAGGTGAGTATTCAGTAGGTACCTAATGAATGAACATTCTTCCAAGTGATTTTAAGAGATGGCTTAAAGATCCAAGCTTAGGAATGTTTCTTACTTTCTAACCCGAAGGCCATTTATTCAACTTACGTACGTGATTAGTACAATAAGCACCTGGCAGAAACACAGCACAAAGCTCCATGAGTCAAGTCTGAATGCAAAATGCAGAACTGTGGGAACCACTGGCAGAGAATGGGACACAGAAGGAAGCTCCAAGACAGCACAGTAATTTCACTTGTATCTCACAGGCCAAAAACCTAGGAACTTACTATGTTCTTAATGATCCTGATCTTGGGTATTTTTTTCTCGTGTGTTCATTACACTTCCGCCTCATTCTTCTGAAGTATAACTGCTCATGTTCCAGCCTTTGTTTCCCCCCCACCCCAGTTACTCCTTCTGGGGTTGGCACCTAAAGGAACTCCTGAGCAAGCTCACATCCTTTTAACCATTTCAGATGCTCACAGCTTTAGCTTACAGCCTCTTTCTATGAAATTCATGATCGTTTGTTTCTCACCTACGTGAAATAATTTAAATGGGAAAGGAATTAATTATCTGGAAAAGAATGCCATTCAAAATAGAGCCAGAAGAAAAAGAAAAGTGAAAAGAATAAAAAGGGGGAAAAAATCCCAGATATAAAAAGAAAAAATTGAAATTTCAGTATATCACCAACTGATCGCAATTTAGAGCCAGACCTAAATCAGCTAGTGCTAATTTCATCTCATCATTTCATTAATGGGTAAATGGAGGGTAATTTCCGAAATTTTAAGGGGTTGTGCCCTTACAGGTTAAGTCTCTCCGCCTTGTGGACCGGGGTTTGACAAACAGTTAATGAATGAGTATGTGAATAAATAAAAGGAACTTACACGGGTTCCTCTAAACAGCGGTCATAACGCTAGTTAGGGGCACAGCCAGGGCTAACACCCAGCTCTCTTTACTGCCTCCTTGGTAGCTCGTAAGTTGCAGCTACACGAGCAGCACAGTGAGTTGTCGGGGGAGCAGCAACGTCGCTGAAGTCACTGACTGACCTTAGCTGTGTGCTTTTTCTCATCTTGCTTTTAGACATGCAAACAAAAGGGAAAAATGAAAAGTGCCAAGTGGGATGACATAAGAAAATTATACTGTAGCCAGATCACACATAGAAAATGACAGAAAAAAGGTAGGCAGAGATGGCTCTGTGATTTTCTGCTCACTCTCACCCGATCTAAGAGATATAAAAGGTTCCAAGTTAGAACGCATTAGCTGTCAGATCAACAACGTGCCGTCACAGGCACAGACGTCTCTAACAACGCAGCCCTTTCAGAACCACGGGCCTGACACAGTCCGCAGCCGGGGAACAAGAGGCAGAGACGATCAGGCACACGGCGGCGGCACGAGGAACTGGAGATGGTCGACTTACTCTTCCAGGAAGTGCTGCTGGGGTCCTATGATGGAGCCGGGCCGGCAGATTCTAATCCAAGCGATTATTTCCGCGTGTGTAAACCTGTAGTGCTTCATGACGTAACAGGCTATCAACGTCCCTGTTCTTCCGAGACCAGCTGTGAGAAAAGGAAACAGAACAAGCAATTCAAAGTACAGCAAATGCACCCACAAAAACACTGAAGGCAAACCTTGTCCAGAAACGGCAACGGTTTCGAATGCAATGCAAAATTTTTAAACTCTGACAAAAATGTAATGCGTTTTACATGATTGGGGTGGAGGGGGGGGTTAAAAGATAATTCTAACTCAAAAATTTGAATTTTTAAAAAAATAGATCACATGGTTAAAATAAACATGTAAAAAAATATAAAAATCAGAGCAAGGGTTTCAAAAAGTTATGAAGTGTTCAATCCCAGAGGCCTTTGGGAATGACTGTCATGGTGAATACTGTGAAGGCCATGCTGGTTGCAGGACAAGCACTTGCAAAATGTCGCCTGTCAGGTGTCTCCCTGCTCCTGCTCCTCAGCCCCAGCCCAGCTTGAGCTGAACCTGCAGGTAACAGTTTGTACTTGTGACCCCTGGGTCACCAGTGTAACTGATTGTATTATCATGGCCATTTTTTAAGCCTATTTAAATGGTGAAGGTTTTTTTTTTAACTTATTTTAGAAAAAGGAATTATAGAATCAGAATTAGAAGACACCGTAAGCATCACCAGGCCCCATCAGCTGCCTAACTCACAGCTGCTTCGATGCTGTGTCCGTCAGGTGGCCGCCCTAATCTCTGTGTAACTCCTTCAGAGACCAGGGTTTCACTGTTTCCTCAGCCAATAGGTGTTGCTAGAGCAGCCACTACCGGATGATAGCCACTTGCTATCATCCCAGAGTTCTTTCCACTCTTGGCTCATCCATTTAGTCACTCATTCTACAAATACCAAGACCGGCTGATTACAAGGTGCTGTGATGGACACTGGGGCCAGAAGCATGATCAAGCGGGATGTCTGTCCCCATGAGATTTATAGTACTAAGCCACTAATGCTTAGTTATATGCATTTTCTAAATCTTTCCATATCTGGCTTTTTGGAACTAAATTCAGTGCTATAAGCTTTCATTTGTTAAGTACCACCCATGAGCAGAGCACTATGCTGAGTTATTTTCCCACTGCTTAATCTCATCCTATCATATACAGTGTTTCTTATGGGAAGACAAAGTGGCTCTGTCCTTGTTTTTAAACATTAGATTCAAATGTTTATTCACTGCCTACCAGATCCCCAGGACAGGGCTCTGCTCATAGGATAATGATATAAACAAATGGAGGATACAATTTTTGACCACAGTGAGTTACCAGAGTAGTTGTGGACACAAGAATATTAACCAAGAAGCAAAGAAATTAGGGGATCTCAGAGAAAGGAGGAGGGGGCCGTGTGAGCAGCTGGTGTCTTCAAAGAATGTGTCAGTGATGACAAGGACTCCAGCAGACTCTAAGGAACAGGAAGGTCACAGAGCATTTTCCTCAATGAGTGGAAGCTGGGCTGGTCTGGAGAATGCATACAATGTGTGTTGAGTGGGAAACAAGGTTGGAGGGGTGTGGAGGGGCCGACCAAGAGCACCTCCGAGTCCAGTGGAGGAGTCGGTACTTAGGGCAAGCAGGCTATCAGCTGTGGGCTGAAGACACCGCAGATTGCTGAGTTCTTCTGGAGTCCCCAGATCCAGATGCACAGTGCTCTGCGCACTGAGCAGGTCACATCTCCTGCCTGTATATGTTATTACTCCTCCACCATGTGGAGATGCTGCTCTGATTAACACAATTCAACTCATTTAAAAAGTAATATGAAATCCATGACACTTTCAACAACTAATAAACATACAACTCTTATCATGTAAAAATATGATTTTTCCTTTAGCCAATGGAAAGAGCAAAAAAAAAAGCTCCCATCGATTTGGATTTGGGGACAAAAAAATGGGTGTGGCAGCAGCACAGCTCCAGGTTGGCAAAGACAGAGACAGGGACCAGACAGAGATGCTGGAAGGCTGGGGCAGGAGAGCCAGGGTGGCTGGACGGGACATGGACTTGGGTGGACAGAGGTAACAGAGGGGAAGAGCCAAACTGGAAAAACGTGTTGACTGGGTCCCAGGGAAGGTTAGCGATGACTGATACTTCTGGCCTGGAAAACTGGTACAATGTCAGTTTCATCCATGAAAACATTTCGTTAGAAAAGGAAACAGGAGAAAGTTGATGGCTGGTTTTTTTTTTTTTTTTGATGTGTTTGACACTTCCCCCTAGCCTCTGCAAAAAGAGGAGTCCTTTTATCAGCTTCTCCTAGTGAAACATTAAAGACAGTCTTCTCTAGTCGCCTCGGGACTGGGAAATACACAGTTTCTCAGCAAATCTAAAATACCATCTTGTCATCTAATGGTGTAAAACACGCCATTGGCTTTTTTCCCCTCTCGTATGTATTTTATTCACACCCTTTCTTCCTGCTCCCATCGCATTGGGAAAACTGTTTTCTGTGCTTTTCTGCTTGGCTGAGATGATAACTTGTGCTTTTTAAGATAATTTTTCCACATACTAGTGTTTAAATTCCATGAAGTAAGAAAAAATCAAACTATGATATGCTATCAATTTTCGGAGCTACCCTAGTTTAATAAATGTGAATATGTGAAAAAAAAAAGTATATCTCTAAATCAGTGCTTTTCAGCCTTTCTTCACTACTGCCCCCTCACCCCTCCCCAAACAACAGCCTCTCCAGGCTTTTTTTTTCCTAATTGTCCCCCATGATTTTGCCGCCAGAGGTAGACTGCATATCTCTTTATGTACTATGTGTAAATCTGCACTTTATACAGATAAAGAAAACTGTGTTTAACACCCAAAAATAGTTTTGCCCCCTTGGGGGCATTATTACCTGGAGGTTGAGAATACATATCAAAAATGTGGAAGAAATTACAATCAAGCTCATGTTTATAGAGGCCTGGCATTTCCCTTCCATTAACCCTTCCTTTTTCAAAATTATACTTAGACATTGTTTTCTTAGATGAGCGGGTGTATGTGTGCATGTGCGTGAGTGACCTGTTTTCATCTGAAGTACATTTTGCCCCAGATCAAGCATCCACATTCTTCAGAGAAGAATGAAGCTTAATCATGGTCTCAGTAGGACTTTCTTCCTATACTAGAAGAATCTACTTCATGTTTCTGCCCAGAGCAGATACTTTGTTCCCACAGAGTTGTCAATGCCCCAGACATCTGACAAGACTGCAGATAATCATGTTGATAAAAACACAGCTGGACAGCCTGGGGCAGGAAGCCCGGATGGCTGACAGGGTACCCCCCTCAAACCACCGATTGGAGTCTCCGTCTGGTGAGAACACTTCTTTCTCCACCCAGACACCACCGCCTCTCTGGCTCCCCTCCCCTCCCCTCCCGCAAGAGGCTGCCCGCTCCCTCGTCCCCTCGGTTAGGCACCTCATCACTCACACACACCAAAAAAATAAGGTGGTGCGGAAATTTTTCAAATTTCTCTGAAACTAAAGTTGCTTCCCCCTTTTTAAAAGTCTATAATTTATATCTATAAAAAGAGCCTACTTAGCACTCAATACTTAGGCGCTCTTATCACAATTCAACAGAATAAGAACATTTCACTAAGTTTCTATAAAAACTTCAACAAATTTTTTGAAGTGTTCATAATTAAAGGGCTCCCTGGCATAGCGAGAGAAGACGCTGAAAAGTCTTCTATTTATACCGGGTGGAACACTGATGGCCTTCCAGTTTCAGGCATTTTCTGAAATGCCTACAGAACATCAAAAATCACAACCTGGAACATCATAATGTTGCTGGTTTTTCAATGATTATTTGTGCCAGAAAGTTTCACACATCATAGCCATTCCTTTTATCAAGCAGAAGGCAAACTGCAGATACTGAATCGTTGTAAGATTTCACACATTCCCAGCAAATTAGTTTCTGGTTTGTCTCTATTTTTAGTACTTTATGTTGAGGCGTGAAATAGTCGCTCTTCTCAGCACCACCAAAGGTCATTTGACACCGTGATAAGATCCTCTCTTCCCCCTCCTGCAGTTCAATTAAAATGCTCAGTGCTGCTTTAATTCCCAGAAAATTAAGCTCACCTAATTAGGGCAGATGTTAAAATAATTAACATGCCAATAGTAGCTAAGTATGCTATTAAAAGCAATACAGCTGTAATTAAATCGAAGGTGTAATCCTTATAAAACAATCCTACATGTGTGTACAAGTGGAGGCAAGTGGAATAAAACTCTCAAATAAATGCCACCACATGTGAATGTGACGTTCCTATGTAAAAACTGACCTCAGTGCTAAAGATCCTGATTAAAATATAAAAATCTCTACAATATAAAATATACATATTCCTTAACACTTCTTACAAGGTCACCATTCACAGGCCAAGGACGTAATAAAGAGGATGTCTGTAACAAGAATGCTTAACACCAGAGAGTTTTATTTTTCCAATGTTTGTTAGGTGAGGAGTGCTATCAAGAGAGAGCTTGAGTTTTAAGTGAAATAAGTCAGATAGAGAAAGACAAATATATCAGTTATATGTGGAATCTAAAAAGTACAACAAACTAGTAAACATAACAAAAAAAGAAACAGACTCGTAGATATAGTGAGCAAATTAGGGGTTACCAGCAGGGAGAGGGAAGAGAGGAGGGGAAAATAGCGGGAGGGGATTAAGAGGCACAAACTATGAAGTATAAAATAAGCTACAAGGATATATTATACAACCCGAGGAATATAGCCAATATTTTATAATAATTATAAATGGAGCATAACCTTTAAAAGTTGTGAATGACTATATTGTACACTTATAGCTTCTATATTATTGTATATCAACTATATCTCAATAAAAAACTTAAAAATTAAAAACTTAGGAAGAAAAAAGAGAGAGATCCTGAGTTTTAATGAAAACTTTGCATTTCTTCTCCCTTAAATTTGTCAATCCAAGACATGACACACAGAGAAATCATGTGAGTTGGTAAGCGTTAAACTAATTGACTAGGAAATAAGGCCAAATTAATCCCAGGAAAAAATATTGATTTTTATGACACAAAAATAAACTTTAAAAAGACCACATATCTCCTGTTAAACGTTAGTTGCTGCCATATTCCCATTAGCTCTCAAATTCCAGGGATAACTTGAAATACGGTCCTCTCTTGGTATCCGCGAGGGATTGGTTCCCGGACCCCGCGGATAACAAAATCCGCAGATGCTGGAGTCTCCGGCAGCCGAATTGGTGGAAGGGGGATCCCACGGATACAGAGGGCCGACCGCATGTGAAATGCAGGCTTTTCCTTCGGCCTGGGCAATCTTTAGCAAAATGGGATGGAGAGGCGAAGTCAGGCTGGATCACATCAGGGGCAGGCCAGCTCACCGCCCCCCCCCCCCCGACTATGACCTGGCAGAAAGCAAAGCAGGCGTCTACAAGGAGTGAGCAAAAAGACACCTGCCCAGCAGATGCACCCCCCCCTCCGCCGGAGAAAGGAGGTCCGGCAAGGCAGGGCCCCAGCCAGCCGAGAAACCGGAGGAGCGGGAGGGGCCTTCGTCACCGAGGACGGAGCCTGGCAGACGGAGCCCTCAGCGAAGCCGGGGGCCACGTGCAGCTCGTTTCCCTCGCCGGGGCTCCGGCAAAATGCAGCTTCTCGTTGCTGCTCACGTGCTCGGCAAAGTACCTCCACCTACTCAATTCTTAAACATAGGAACAAGGGCCTACAAAATGGTATTTTAATTTCTGTCAGAACCAAAGCCATGCTCATCTGAGTAAGTCAGTTACAGCAGCACCAGGCACAGGAAAAGAACGGCACAATCCCCAACACCTACTAGACAATTAGCATAAAACGAGACAAACCGGTTCTCAGACTCGGAAACCGGAGAACAGCACCACCCAGCGGCAGAATGAAGAGCTGCATGTGCTCCGCGGCCAAAAGTGGTTCCTCCTCACGGAAATCAAAGACCCCAGTAAAATACCTGAACCGTGCTGAAAATCTAGACTGTGAGCCTCCTCAGAGTCTAATAAGCAGGCTTAGACCAAATGTTATTTCATATTTTCTGAGCAGCTGACACAAGGCTGCGAGGTAAAATGCAGAGTGTATGTTCAGTGCAACGTTTGAGACACACTAAAAAAGATAAACGAGGTCGAAGTGCTCGAAGTCGGCGTCTGCGAACAGGAAATCTTTAGATAAGTAGTTCAACTAAAATTCAGATTTAACTGGGTGTCCTGTATTCTTATTTGCTAAAGCTGGCAATCCTACATCTCCTATAATCTGAACAACCTTTGCCGCAGAGTACTCGCCCCTAGAGACCAGGGATGTATTCACATAACCAAGTCTTTCAGTCATTCAAAGAGGCAGTAACACATCCGTGGCAAGGATGCTGGCGATGACCCCGGTATGCTGCCGTCCCCAGGCAATGGGCTGGGGAGACACTCTGTTCCGTGATGCAAAAGACCAAGAGGGGAGGGGAGGGGTGGAGGGAGGGTGCAGCCGGGCTCCAGATAGCTGGGTCAAATAATGGGAGCGTTAATATCAGATGGGTGAAGGAGGATGGGGGAAAGGTGGGCAATTTTGCAAGAGAAGGAGAAAGGGGAACTAACAACCCTTGTTTGTGTTCTCGTTTTCTGAAACCAAACATGACTTTTTTTTTCCCCTAAGATACTAAGTGGCTTTGTTTCACATGGCCTGCTGTCTCGCGGCCCACCCCCTCTCAGAAGCCCCGCCGCCCGAGGCTCGCGGCTCGCCCGCACCTTTGCAGTGGACGGCGATCGCGCCCTCCGCGTTCTCGCAGATGCTCAGGAACCGCCGCACGATGCTGTCGCTGGGCGTGCTGCCGTCGATGAAGAAGAGGTCGTAGTGCTCGAAGCCCGCGTCCGTGAAGCGCTTCGCCTCGTAAATCTTTTTGTTCAGCCTCACGATGGCAGTCACATTATGCTTTTTGAAATAAGGAAAGTAGGCTTCGGGAGCGTGAAGAGGATAACCTGGGAGGAAAAGAGGAGCTGTAAGCAGAAGGCACGCGTTTCATCTTCCGGAACCTGGGAACGCGAAAACCCTTCACAGTGAAGATCTCATCAGGGCTTGGCAGGCAGGCGCATTTCATGAGAGTCGGGTCGCAGCAGCCTAAAGTCTAAATAACGAGCACACACCACAGGAAGGGAAAAAATCTAAGTACTGGAAATGGCTCATGAATGTTCAAAACCTCAACCTCTAGGACTCACACCCTGGGAACACACTCCTCCCAAGCCAAACCAAGGCCGCCCTGGGGCGCTCGAATGTGCAAAAAGCCTGGAAGACTCTCTGTGCTTTTTACTCCACGTGACAAATACTTTTGACTTACAGTTAAAGGCTTTTTTGCCAGATGGATCGTTTTAATCTCAGTGCAATCTCCCACAAAAAGAGATGGATTATTAAGCACCTACCATGTACAAGTCACAGTGGCATACAATTTCCTGTAATTCTCTAAACAACCTATCAAGATAAAAATAGTAAACCCCATATAACAGGTTAGGAAACCAAGAGGTTGAGTAATCCTTTTTTGAGGACATTTTCTTTTTTTGAGGAGAACAAGTAGTCAGCCCCGACCTCTCTTCTGCTATGAGAGGGTCCGGCATCAACAGAGTACCCCTGGGGGCTGCCGTCAGCTGGTTACAGACACGTGACCTAGACTCGGCCAGTCAATCAGGGTGACCACTGGGGGCTTTGGCCACTTCAGGCCTTGCCCAGCCGCCCCAGGGGTTAAGGGGGCCCTGATCAGCACAGCTGGAACCTATTCAGCGCATATCAGGTGAGGTTCTATCTTACTCAGGACTCATTCGTGACGGTGGGCTCCAGCGGCCAGCAAAGTGAACCAGCAGTTTCTGCACTGTGTCCTTGGCTCTGTTTCCTGCTGCCTCAAACCTTGCATCTGCTGGTCATTTCCTATCTTCTCTTAGTTGCAAGCCAGCTCTCATATGCCAGGGCTGGGGTCCGCATATGAGATTTCCCCCTACCTTTCCCACTGGCTTCCTGTCATTTCGAAAGATGGGAGGCCCTAAAGCACATCTGGAGCATGTGGAGGCCAGAGGCGGGGCTGTTTTCCTGCCAGCATGGCTTCAGCGGCAGGAGGCACCCCCCCCCCCCGCACCAGCCTGCAGCCCAGCCTCACCGTCTCTACCTGTCAGCCCCCAAAATGCAAGCCCTGGCTGTGTGGCACGCCCTTCAGAGCTCCTGGCCCCAGCCAAGCTGTCCCCGCAGCCTTAAAGGCAGCCGCTATTTCCTCCTTAATATGCTGGGTTTTGTTGGTTTTTTTTTTTTTTTCCAGAGTTGCTCTTTTACTTTTTAGCCTTCTCTCTAACAAATTCCTTATACTGCATTCACTCTGTTTGAAATAAAGTGGTTTCCATTCCTGCCTGGACCCTGCTGGTTGACAATCTCCCTTAGATCCTGCTCATGTTCTAAGCCTCATTTTCCAGCCTTCCCTTGGAGGCTGTGAGCTCCCCGACATCATTCCAATATGCCTTTTTGGTTTAATTTACCAGAGTTGGTTCTGCTGCCTACAACCAAAGCCCTCACTAGTCCAAGGTCACACAATGGATGGAGGCAGAATTGGCAAACAGGCTAACTAATCCTCAGACCAGCTTTTCACAAGCTATGCTGCTTTCGAGCAAACAAGTAATACACAGCTTATTTACAATCTTCTGTGTTGAAATCGTGACTTATACACACACATTAAGAAAAAAAAATGGATGCTTTTCAATTTGGAAAAAAAATCAAATCTGTTTTCCTAGTTGCTTTATTTGTTCAAATCATTTTCCAGTCTAAAGGGAAAAAGAACTGTGGTTGGCATAAGGAAACAGCTTTTCTACCGTGAAGGGATGAAAAGGAAGAGGGCTCATGAGCACACATGGGAAGCCATCCCCTGGTGTGACAGCTGGCAAGCGCTTCTGACTCTGGGTTCCTAGCATACCATGAAGTGTGTCATGAAGTGTGCTGATGGTTTGCTTGGTATCTGTCCCTTCTGCTCCTCACCAAGGCTGTAAGAACTTCTCTTTTCATATAGGAACGTCCAGCAGGAGTAAACAGCATTACAGATAATATACTTAAACCTACTATTAAACCACGTGTATCTTTTGAGAAAAGAACACTGGACAGTTATCCAAATATGGCAATAGGTCACTAAAGTAGTAACAATAATGGTAACAGCCACATCTAACATTTATTAAGTGCTTACTGTGTGCCAGGCCCTAAGCTAAGTGCTTCACGTGTATCATCTCATTAAACCTTACAATTAGCCACTGTGCCTGAAAAAGTGAATTGGCGCTTGCACACACCGCGAGGAAGGCACAGAGGCAGCGTCTGGACCCTGGCAGACAACTTCCAGGGCCTGTGCTGGGGATGATTTCAGGTAAAATCTAACTTGATTCTATTGGTTAGATCTCAAAAGGGACATTACATGAACATTAGGAGCTTTACTTCCTACAGTTGGTGAGCAAGTTTATTTAAAAATTCTCAAAAACGAGTTATAGCCAACAATGACAATATCCTCTGACTTCTGAACAACTGTTTGTGGGTGTTTTCAGTGTATTTGGATGCTTCTGATGGGGGACTGGATTTAGAAAAGTGCACGGAGCTGAGGAAACATTCATCCGACCCTTACTCCATCTGGCCGCTAGATGGCGCCCTGGCATCGGTAAAGCACAGGCCGGGCCCTGGCGCTGACCCAACAGAAACAATTTCAAAGCTAAGAGACTGCAGAATTCGTCTCTTCCCAGCTCCTCATTTAAAGTTAGGGAACTGAACAACAGTTGAGTTTAATGACGAGTGGCCCACCCACTCGTTATTAAAAGTAAAAATTGCAAAATAGGCAGGCAAATGTGGAAAGCAAAAAAATATGTAATAAAATGTTTTTAGGTTCATGATAAAAATGTGAATGATAAAAAAATTCATAAAAATGATTTTAAAAATGCAATCAGAATATCTGCTATCTAATGAACACCTATTAATGTGCCTGATACTGTGCAAGGTACTTCCTATAATATTTCTACTCCTCACCAAATGCCTGCCATGTGCATCCTATTTCCACCGTTTGACATACGAGGGAACTGATGCTGAGAAGCGCTGAGGGGCTCGCGGAAGCTCACACGGCCAATTAGGCGCGGAAGAAGCCCAGGCTCTTCACACCTGGCTTCTCCTTCAATGAGCGGGCTGACGCTTCTACTGCTGGAGTCCCATCTCAAACTGTCTTTCTCTGTGTTTTCTTTCTTCTTCCTATTCTCCCTTTTTTCTTTCTTTTTTTTTGGGGGGGGGTGAGGTTAACTAGGTTTACTTACTTATTATTTTATTTTATGTAACAGAGGTACTGGGGATGACAGCCATGACCTGACGCATGCTATGCGTGAGCTCAACCACTGAGCTACACCCTCTTCCCTCTTTCTTTTTTATCAGAGACGGTAAGGATATTGCCACCTGAGAATTTGGGGGTTTGGGGGGAAAACCTGAAATCCAAAATATGCTTTGTTCTACTGCTGTATTATTCATTTATCAATTCAAACTTGTTTAACCAAAAAAGGTAGGGCCCCTGTCTTCCCCTGTGTCAAAACAATGCGAACAGACGGCTGCAAGACACCCCCCTTGGTCTCTGCTGACACAGCCCGCACTTAAGGCTGTTAGAATGCATTCTGCCCGATCCCGAGAAAGATTTTAGGGCTTCCTTTTGCTACATCCTAGCAACAGCTATTTGAGTGTTAAAAATAGCTTAAAAATCTAACTTTCCTACTAACAAATCCCTGAAATGACTTGTAGCTATCTCAGGAAACATAGGGTTTTTCAACTTAAAAAGAAAGAAGAAGAAAGAGCACCAGGATTTCACTGTCAGTGGAGCAAGTTCATTAATTCCATCATAAAATTACTGTCTTAAGTTCAAAAGGATTTACGAAGTTAAAGCCTTTACAAAAACTATGATGAAGCTTCCAGTGAGTATCAGATCTGAAAACGGGGATTCCAGTAAAATATCAGTATTTTACCAACAACAGCCTTAAATGAAATTGTGCTACACATCATAAAAACTGGCAGGTATTAGGTAAGCAGCATGTTCAGACCTTTCTTCCTCAGTGTGAGGGGGCACAATACATGCACAGATAAAAAGATGCATAGAGAGCAATATCTTAACAGTGGTGATTTCTAGATTATATAAGTGCAGGTGACTTTTTAGCTGGACTGCTTAAATTTTCTATGATGAACATGTACTTCCTCTGTAGTAAAATTAAAAAGAACACAGAATTTGGAATCAGAGACACGCTGCCACTTTCCGACCCTGTGAACCTGGGCAAGTTAGGTTACCAAGCTTCCATCTTCTCTTCCACAGAACTACCACCACCTGCTCCAGAGGGTGGCTCTGATTATTAAACAGGGGGGGTGTGCACGAAAAGCTCCACACCACTCCTGGCACATACGCAAGTGGTGGCTAATTATTCCCTGTATTGCCACGTGGGGCCAAAAAGAGTTTTTAAGATTTGTGGCAATTAAGAACTGACACACAAAATATTCATATCCTTTTATCTAGTGATTCTAGGAATTTAGAGAAGGAATTAGAGCTGCAAAAAAAAATGTATAAAAAAAGAATGTAAAAAAAATAGACATGTGTGCCAACTACGTCGGTTTTTTAAAAGCGAAAAAGTGTAAATGACTTAGATCTCACTCAAAAACTAATCGATTTATTAACAAAATTATGGCACAATCATTGAATGCAAATATGAAAAATTATAATGAAGATTCATAGCTACTGCCACGGAAAGAACTCTGTGATATATTAAATAAAAAAAGCTGCTGTAAGACAGTAATCATATTATGACTCCACGCTTGTAAACAAGAAGAAAAGAAATATTTTTATCAGTGTGTGTGTGTATTCTTTGAGAAAAAAATACGTACAAAAAATACAAAGAAGCAGCTGGAAAGAAAATTAAAATCCCTAGTAATCCCACCACCAACTAGTAAACCTAGAAAACTTGGGTAGAATTATAGGTCACTTTTATGCTGGTTTTATTAGTTCATCTGCATTTTCTTCTTTTCAAAAAGCATCTATTACTTCCATAAAAATATTTTAAATGGTTTTTTAAATTATATTTCTTACTTTCTGTTTAAGAAAATTTCATGAAACAGGTGAATCCTAAATGGCAAAATTCTTTCACTTTCGCCAAATGAATTCCCAACAACAAACCTACTCTTACTGAGGTTTTCCGGATCCAAGTCAGATCATTTTTCACAAAAGACCAGAGGGAGGTTTAATCAATCCTGGTTTGAAAGACCAAGAGAAAGTGGTTTCCCCAAGCCCTCAACAAATACAACCCAACACGACAAAAGGTTAATCAATCAATGTCTGGGGCTAAAAAGATTCACAAGCAAACTGGTGAATGAGAAAATCTAATTCTGGCTTCGGGACAGAGACCTCCTATTTGTTAGGATAACTCAAAGGACCTGGACCACCCATCCCCAGAGGAAAACTGTGATTCAAGCAGAGCTCCCTGGAGAGATGTCCCAGGTGTGAAATGATGAGCACGTGTGCAGAGACCCAAACAAATTATCAAATCAAAATGCACGCATATACAGCGAAACTAGATTTTAGAATAAGTGATGATGATGATGATGATGATGATGATGATGATGCTGCTGCTGCTGCTGCTGCTGCTGGTGATGATGGTGATGATGGTGATGAAAAAAGAAATCTAGACTAGGAGTTTCAAATTACATTCCCTCAGAGGACTACTGTTCCAGCTCTGTGACCGAACAGAGCAAAAAGGGAGCTGATATGTTCATAGGTGGTTTTTTTTTTTTTAATTTTATGTACTTCTCTCCTCCCATAAATTATTCTTAAACGTTTGGTGCCTATCATTACTTGTATTCTAGGGAATGTTAGGTTAAAAATAAATAAATAAGTAGAAATACATATGAATGGGAAACTCACATAGCTGATCATGTTTCATTCAAGAAGCTTATTATTTTCTTTTGCCTTTTCTTCTTCTATATGCCCCTAGTTATACATATACTGCAAATAATTTACCCAATCACTCTCAGCTAGAAAATTATTCCTAGTTGCCATGACGGAACTGAATAGATGAGTGTAGCGGCAATGTTTAGGAGGCCAGCGCTGGGGTTGGAGTACCACCGGGGCTGCCGGGTACTTTGTGACCTTGGGCAAATTCCCTACTCATAAGCCTCAGCTTCCCCCTCTGTAAAATGGAGATAAGAGTACCTACACCTCACAGACTTGTGTGTGCACTGAATGAGGTGATGCTGTGATTAGACAGTAACTAGCACACAGTAAAAAAGTTCATAAATGACACCCATGGTCATCATCGTCATCACTATTCAACATGGTGCCCCCAGAGAAGACCTTAATGTGTAGCACTCTACCAGCAAATCAGCCGGAGAACCACTGACGGAATTCAGCAACCGGCTCCTTGTTTTGAGCAGTTTGTTTCTCAGATTCTCCTTTGATCACTGGGCCAGGTAAAGTGAACACCCTATTTATAGCAACCTAAAAATGTGCTAGTTTTAAAGCAGTGATTATAGTTCCACTTACTGAACGCTAACATTTAACACACTATTACTACTGTTCCATTTTTTTAATCAATAAATATTCCCTGGAAAATATTACCAAAAGTAAAGATTATCTGAGGAAATTAAGAAATTAAAGAAGATGAACTGAAATAAATTTTTGGAGGGTAAAATAAAGAAAAACCTACCATTTTCAATTTTGCTTTTTGGATGTGGTCCACTAAATGCTAAAAATTTTCCTGGAACAATCCAGTTGAAGTCACCATTTTCAACTCGCTGGGAGAATTTTGTAAGAAAAGAGAAGAAAAATATTTTATAATTCTTATACAATTTAGGAAATCCTTACAAATAAAACTGCTTTTCACCCTATTAGTACTAGACTAATTGGACAGATATGAAGACAAAATAATATAGCTTAAGATAAAAACATGCATCTGATTCTCAAAATGATGTGTATGAATTCAACCCGCTTCAGGAAAAAATTTGTCTCGACTCTATGAGAAGTTTAGAAAACTTTATTTAAAGTGGATGCACTTTGCTTAAAGTAACTGTCTCCTGGCCACTCTGCAATGAAATGAAATGAACACAAACACTGCTTGTCCCAGTAACAAGGAAAATAAGGGAAGACAGAAAATATAAGCACTTTCCATGAGCATGGTAAACACACTATAAACAAAGGACAAAAAACGATAAATATCAGAGTCATGATGAACACACCTTCATTTTTTGTTTGTGTCTATAGGTTGGTATCTGTTGCCGGTGCTGATTTCTGGACTGGGAAACAGAAGGCAGGAGTGAGGGACAGAGGCTTACCATACCCTCACGGGGTACCACAGACTGGAGCCGGCCAAGGTCTACTGCGGGGGCTGCAAACCCAAGCAGCTACAAGGGTCAGGCAGGAGGCATAAACAAAGGCCGCTGTTCCTCAGCTCTGGCCAACTGCCCATAGGAAGGTGACTAAATGTGGCCCACTTGCCAACTGGATTTCCACGTAAAATCTCTCTATGTTGGAAATGTTGCCCGTTTGAAATTAAGTTTTTAAATACTAGGAAACCAAATGGAACACACCCATGGGCTGATTTTGACCACCAGCTGTTGGCCTCTGGTCTGCACATTCCAGGATCCTCAGAAAAGGCCTGAAAGGCCAGGCAAGGGGCCGAGCACCCTCCCACTGCTCATTATCTCCTTCACTGCCTTCCCTTCCAGGTGTGCCTCTGAACCCATGAAACACTGAGGCACGGCTGAGGGTTCCCAAGACTCTGCAGGCAACTGGGACACAGTTGTGCAATGCATTACAAATATATATGTGTCTCTTCTTCCCATAAGCACCGTAGCCCAACCCCAGTCTCACTCACACCCCCACCACCAGCCACAGCTTCTAGTCTCCAAGTCTCCACCCTCCATAGCACTGCACAGACACCTCCTCGGGCAGGAAAGGAAGGCAGTCCTCTTTGCTGGGCCAAGGGCATCCACATGAAAGGCTCTCTCCTCCACTACATGGCACAGACCTCAGTGGTAGGAATCTGTCCAATACGGAGTCTGCACTCCGCTGTAAGAGCTCATAAGTATTTGTTGAATAAACTGGAGAGATGCCACCAAGGAAATCCGGGGCTCTACTTTCATTACTTATAACTACTCGTTGGATTTGATTTCCATGAAAATCAAAACTTCGCTGTACAATTTTCATGTTTAAAATGCAGGTGGCTCTTTCCAGTTATAAAAAGTTATAAATGAAACTTTACATGACACCTTGTAAATGTCTGAACTGCATTAATCTAATTGTAATAAACATTGTAATAAAATCTCCACAATGCCCTAAATAAAATCTTAGAGATGCTATGAGTGTTGTGATTACACATGCCAAATTAAATCTCAAGCACAGCTATCTAGTTAGAACAATTTGAATAAAGAATCTAATATACAACTCTTTACGGTAATTAAACATTTTCTTATTTAAATAAAGCAGTCTCAAATCAAATAGTCCAATATCCTTCTCAAGTAATTCTTAAGCTTAAAACATTATTTAAAAATTCAAAAATAAAGGTATGCTGTAATCATCAAAAGGCTAAAAGCAGTTATCTTATGAACAGTAGAAGAAAACAAGTTTCTGTGCTCACCATTCCTGTACCCTTGACCATGAAGTAGGCCTGGATAAACACATTGTGCTATGTCTGTTTCTTTGGGATTATAGACATCCGTTCCGTTAAATAGTAACCTTTTATAATCAATCATATGGAGATAGGCAATGGACTCACAGAACCAAAAGAATATATTTACAAATTCGCCTACCCAAAAAGATAAACATTAGTTATTTATGGGCTATATTCAATAGCTTGGATAAGGTTGATGGAGTAAACAAAGAGATTTGTGTCTTAGATCTAAATCTGAAAAAAAATTAGTAAGGAAGTTATAATTTTAACTGACTAATATAACATTAACCTTACTTTGGTAAGCTTCCAAAATTAATGTCTGTGCCTTCCTTCACAGTGAAGTATATAAATGTCAATGTTTATCAATGGTAGGATATTTAAGATGATATTCATTGGTTTTTCTAATTAAATGCACGTGCACGCGTTCGCGCGCGCACACACATGCACACACAGACTTCCAAGAAATCTAGATCAGACAGGAGCTTAAGGTACTTTCCAACACAACCACATTTTATAAACAAACGTCTAAGCAAGAATGAGGGAAGAGAATGATGTTACCTCTTTCAGTCCAAAGCCTACAGCCTACCAAGCACCATGCAGAAAAACCACAGGGATCCTTCACTACAAGGAAACTCCAAAATTCAAATCTGAATTCTTCAAACTGATACATTTAGGTATTAATATTCACATTACTACAGAATCCTTCAGTCTACAAAAGATTCACCAGATTTCTTTGGAATGGCTAACTCTCTTCATGCATTTAAAATATAACTTGAAAAAAAAAATCAAAGTTTCCTATGAAGTACGTAACAGCATTAAAACTGAAAAAAAAAAGTGAATAAAGTATAATTTGGCTTGGAAACATGAGTTTCTACAACTTCTAAGAAACACGTCTGTGCCAGTAAAGCATGCCTCACAGATTTATTTTCTAGTCCAAAAACTGAAAAACATTTGGCCTTTTTACGACCAAAATAGACAGTAAGACAGAAAAGACAGACCTTCAGGTTGACAGTTATAGGACTGATTCCTTTTATCAATACATGTTTTTAAGACAACATGGATAAACAGCTTTTAAGCACAATTCGACATTCATTAAAACGTTTTCTAAGCCTTTATTACGTAGCAAAGACTGTAACTTGGTGTCACACATAAAATAATAAAAAGCATTTCTGTGCTCTGTGCTCTGAAGGAGTCTGAAAACAAGGGACAACTAACACTAATAACAATAGCAGTGAACACATGTGTGCCACAGACTCTGTGCCAGGCGCTCCTCTGTTACACACAGCTCACTGCATCTTCAGAGCATCGCTCTGAGGCAGGTGTGGTATCATCTGCATTCCACCCACTGCTCTAGACTGAATGTTGGTGTCCCCACAAAACTCAGATGTTGAAACCGAATCTCCAATGTGACGGTATTAGGAAATGGGCCATCTGGGAGGTGATTAGGTCATGAAGACGGAGCCCTTATGAATGGGATTAGCAACCTTATGAAAGAAAGAGCTCTGTCTGTGAGGACGCGGAAGAATGTGGACACCTCTGAACCAGGAAGAGGGCCATCCATCACCAGACACCAAATCTGTCAGTGCCTTGACCTGGGACTTCCCAGTCTCCAAAACACTGAGAAATAAATGTCTCTTTAAGCCACACAGTCTATGGTATTTTGTTAGGGCAGCCAAACTAAGACACCCGTTAAAGAAAAAGTTGCATTAAACTTTAAGTGCTGTAATACAAGTACATTAGAGGTTAACCGTGGCACAAAGACTATTTTAAAAATGAAGATAGAGGGAACTATATTCAATATTCTGTAATAAACTATAATGGAAAAAATATGAAAAATAATATACAAAGATAAAAATAAAAAATAAATATCATTCCTCAGATCAAAAACAAATCATCAGAGAGATCATTTTTGCCATAAAATTAGCAAATTTTTAAAAATTATCATTTCCAATGCATCAAGAAACTTCAGAGCCTCAGACAACGCTGGTAGGAGTGTAAATTTATAAACATTTCTGAGGGGCAATTTGTAAAGTAATAAAACCTCTTAAAAACATATGTGCACTTCATCAGAGTAATTCAACTTCTGGGAATTTTTCCTATGAGGAAATCAGAAACATGCAAGATGAATGTGTAAGTCTCTTAACTTTTTAACATCAGCTGCATCTGCAAAAGAATTGGAGACAACTTACGTAATCACCAATTAAAATGTGTCACACATTCTATGAAAGATAAAGAAAAACAAAGACAGAACTACGAAGTCTTTTTTATTCATGAAGAAGCTGCCTTCTTTGTATTGCTGTACTTTAAAACAATGAAACAGTGTTGACAGTATAGCTGTATTACATAAACACAAATACGCTGTAACGACTGGCATTTTATGGGCTTAAAGCAAAGTCAATATTCGAGGTATCTGGTTTAAATTAAGTGTCCATGCCATCTGGCTTTAAATGATAACCTCTAGATTATTACTTTAGATTTGCTTTTGAGAGAGACAGTGTGGGAGAGGGAAAGAGGCGTGTTCCATGTGGACGACGGCTTCACCTCTAAATGCAGAAAACATTTAGGGGACGCCTGCCACAGCCCAGCCCAGCCCAGTGAACACCCCTGCTGATGCAATCACAGAGAGCAAGAATTCTGTGCGTGTTCGCAGGTTCCATCCCAGTACGGAAGACATTAAGATTTGAGGCCATCAGCACATACGCGGTTGCTGAAACTTGGAAACTATCCCGTCATTTACGGAGAATGTGTCCCACCAGAAATCTCAGGACCCTAGAGACCAGCAGCATTTCGGGTGGGCAAAGGACGAGAGAGGACTTGCAAGGGAGACAGAGACACACGGCCAGAGATGGCAGGAGGAGAAAAGCAGGAGACAGAACTGAAGAAGTGAGGGGAAGGAAGTGAGTTTCTAGAATTCGAGAGCAGTCACCGAGTAAATCAAGCAGGAAGAAGACGGAGCACAGCCATGTGGTTTCTCTGACTCCTGTAAGAGCATCAGCAGCTTCACCCGAGTTGCAAAAGTAAAGAACAGATCATAACTGGCCTTTGACTGGCTGAGTTAAAACAGAGTCAAGATTGCTCTCTTAAGAAGTTTGGAGGTAAAAGAAGGGTCAGAGGCCAAACAATAAT